TTTTCTAGATTTTACTAAATAATGATATTTTATAAATGGTCACATATATTTATCAAAATTCATTCAATCTCTTTATAATAGCATATAGCAAAGAATTACTTTGTAATTATTATTTATATTTTAATTTGTATTTTATTTTCATCAATTTTTTTATGTACTGACATGATTTCTATTTAAACGTAAAGTCGATAGAGGTGAAGGCAATGGTAATAAAGGCTACAATGGTTATAGTGAAGGAGGAAATAGTGAAGGAGGAAACGGTGAAAATAGTGGAAATAAGAAACGGGGTGGTAAAAGTGAAAACGAAGGGTCTGAATCTGGGTTTGGATTTGCATCCAACAGTGTAAATAAGAAACGTGTATATAAGAAACGTGGTGGTGAAGGACAAGGACAAGGCCAAGGTGATAACCAAGGTTCAGGAAACGGATCCAATGGTAATAATCAAGGTTCAGGAAACGGATCCAATGGTAATAACCAAGGTTCAGGAAGCGGTTCCAATGGTAATAACCAAGGTTCAGGAAACGGTTCCAATGGTGTAAATAATAAACGGTAGTGGTGAAGGTGAAATTCAAAGTTCTGGAACCGGATCCAATGTGGACCTCGCATAAAGCATTTAGAGGTTATATTGAAAATTTGAATAGATTGGTTAAAAGGTTATATTGAAATTTTGAATAGATTGGTTAAAAGGTTATATTTAAAAGTGATAAAAGTTTTTAATGTAGATAAAATTGATGTATTTTAGATAGGTTGGATTAGATAGGTTAATATTTGAAATTGATAACAAAATAAAAAATAAAAATAAAGAACAATAAAAATAATAAAAAGAGAATTTTTTCAAATGAAATTTTTTTTTGAATAAAAAAAGAGTAAATTAAAATATTTGTCATTTGTTAATTAGGTAAAGCTATTTAAATATTAAAGCTTATAATAAAAAGTGATTAAAATTTACAAAAAGTTCAGACCTCTCTAAATGCAATACATGGGACCATATGTAAAAATTTAGCCAAATGTGCATTTAGAGAAGTATTACGTTTATGGAGGTAAAAATATAAAGGCGTAATATTAGTTTGACCCAAGAGAAGATATGCATTTAGGGAAGCTTTTCATAGGACGTGCACTTAGGGGTTGCATTTAGGGGTCTGACCTAGGTTGGCCAATGGACCAAAATGTGGCTTAGCAAATGCCAATGGGCTATGTACATTGGCCCAATGATAATACCCATTGACAATTTATTCAGAACCCATCATAACCCATTGCCAACCCTGGGTCTGACTGTAGCCTCTATATATATTACGAGTTTGGGTCCTATCCAATGGTGTGAATAAGAAATGAGGTCGTGAAGGTGAAGGCCAAAGTTCAGAAACCGGATCAAATGGTGTGAATAAGAAGTGAAAGTCAATGGTACGAATAAAAAACGTGGTGGTGTAGATGAAGGTGAGTGAAGGTCAAGGTGAAGGTGAAAGCCAAAGTTCAGGAATCGAATCCAATAGTGAATAAGAAACGTGTTGGTGATATTGCCGCCCAAATCTCAATCTAACTTTGCAGAAATTTTTGTACGTATTATTATCATCTAATTATATGGTTAATAGATAAAATTTAGACCTTTGTACTACTAGTAGTACATCAAAAGTTAGCATCCATTTTTAGTTATGCAACTAATAGATTAATAAAAAGGGTATAATTTATATCGGTACAATATCATTTTCATAAAATTAAATAAATTGGCTATTTATAAAAATTAATTTCCAAATTTCTCTTCTCTTATCAATTTCATGTTTTTTTTTTTTTTTTTACAGTACAGGACAGCTAAAAATATCCACTTTTTATATATAAAATATGTTAGAATAGATTTTTATTTATATAATATCGGTGGATTTACGGAGTTGGTCCTAAATTGTATCTTCAAAGTTATCCGCAAAATAAACCAAAATTTTGCAGCACATGTAAAGATAATTTAAGGGGAATAGATACAATAACGCCGTTACTGTATCCATTTACCCCTTAAATCATATGTACGTACGTATATTTGCTTGCTACAAAATTTTGGGTTCATTTTGCGGATAACCTTGAAGATACAATTTAGGATCAATTCAGAATTAAAGGGTTTTAGAGATTAAAGTTTATATGTAATCAAAAATTTGGCATTTAATCAACCAGAATTCATTACACAAAAGTTAGCAAATCATATTTTATTATATAATCCCAAAAATACCGCTTTTTTTAAAAAAAATAGGATATCTTTAACTGCCCGTACTGTATCATCTTGCAACTTTTGTTAGTTTTGCTATTTTGCATTATTTTGGAATCTTTCGTCGCTTTCATATTTAGTCATTTGAAATTTTAAGTAATGACAAATGAAAAACTAATTTAGTATCTCATTACGCGAAACTACTATCAGGTTTTGCCTAACAACTACATATCGTCATATGTATTTTAGTTTCAGATACCTTTACCTAGTTCATATAGATAGGTTGATGGAAATACTAAATTTAACTTGAATTCTTTTATTTATTTATTTTTTTTTTATTTGCCTGCCAAGTTATAGGGCATTATAATTGTGCTTACTGAGGATCTATTCTTGCTAGAGGGATTTAATAAATGTGCATCAAACCTATTAGATTAGGCCACGCAAAGTTAATTTTTCGTTTTACATAACCCGCCGACCCAATTTTTCAAAAAAATTTTTTTTTTTTTTTAAGTTTCAATTGCCACAATTATTCCATTGCTATTTAATTTTTTCCATAAATTTATCTGGTATAACTCGATAGTGAACTTGATCTTCCGTCATAACCCGACAGGTCTGTTAAAAGAAAAACAAAATTTCCAAATTTTCTGATTCCATGTTATGCAAATCGAAAAATTAACTTGTGTGGTCTTAAATATGAGTGTGAATCTATTAATTTATAGTTGAATTTTTTTTTTTTTAAAAAAAAAAAAATAAAATCCGACCCTCCGACTGGAATTTCAGAACACTATATTATGCAAATCGAATAATTGACACAATTGGAACATAAAAAAAAAAAATTTTTTTTGAAAAAAATGGGTCGGCGGGTTATGCAAAACGAAAAATTAACTTTGCATGGCCTTATATATGTTTTTACAATAATTTTATGCTAAATTGGTTTTTTTGGTCAGTCTTATAAAAGACCAGACTGGCCCGGTGTTACTGTCAGCGGGAGAGCGAAGAAATATTGAAGTGCCGGTCTAATTCAGGACAGTAAATGAATTAATGTAGAATGTAGTATGTTATATGTGAATATATGAAATTAGGGTTAGGTAGAATTTAGTAAGTGTGTATGTACAGTATGTAAGTAGAGTTAGATTGAGAATGCGCGCAGTGTATATGTAAAGTAAATCAGTAGTATGATAATCGTTAGAGTTATAAAGACAAGATATACGATATAATTAAGACAACACTCAGATTACTTTATTATAAAGGAGGAATCACTCAGATCTAGCCTAAAGAACAAGCAAAGCGAATTCATTTATTGGGTTTTTATACATGAAGAAATCCCGTAGTCATCATTGAACACTTCGGGGACGATTACAAGATATCATTGAAAAGCTTTGACAACCTTCTATCTCATCCCTCAATGACCAATGATACTACTAAGATCTTTAATTCCATCAGTCTCTCGATACTTCCCCGGAAAATGGACTTACCCGAAATGGAAGTAACAACAATCTGACAATCGTGGACTAAAATAGGAAAAGCGGAATTATCAATCACACGCTTAAACATCCAGCCGACAATAATAAAGACAAGAATTAAATAATGCGGGGGTTTATAGTAATAATAAATATGTAAAGGATAAAACAATAATAGATGTAGTAAAATAATAATAAAACTAATAATAAAGAAAATTAAAAATATGAGCGCAGAACGATTTTGAGTGTAACACCGGTCCTAATTTATGCGGACTGATTAACAGCCCTAATTTTGTAATGATCTAAATTTAATTTCGGACCAAGTTTTTCAAAGCCTTTTACTTTAAGGTAATTAGTCATATAGAAATATATATATTTTTGTATTAGCTAATAAATTTATTACATTCTATACAAAAATGTTTATTACTATTAATAAAGACTTTACAATGTAATAACAGAAATTCCACGCTAGAATCAATGAACTGCATTATTAATACAATACAATAATAATATATAAACCAATTCTGTTTAAAAAAAAAATCTAATGTAAAAATATTATTTTAGTTTCGAATGAATTTCTTTGTATTAATCTGCTATTTTAATAGTAAAATAACACATTATTTTATTTATTATTATTATTTTTATTTTTTTTTATCTTTCAATTAAAATTTTTATAAACATTTTCAAATGACAAAGAAATAGAGATCAAAGGTAGACTATTACTATTTTGTCCGGATTCGTATCTTAGTTCTAAATCAAAAAATCTTTTAACTAAATGATCTTCGATGTGTTTTCCCATATTATCTAAAATAACACGAGTCACATCATGCATAAACCTAGATGAACAAAACTTTTGTATATCTTGTAAATCATAATAATGTCTATTATCCGACTTGTCATTAATTATATGAACCTCACCATTTCTAAGTTCTAATTTGATATGATTTATAAAATATTTGCAACAACGAATGATCAATTCTTCAAAGGCCGAGATGAGGTTATAAATATTATTTCTAATAATTTCTAAAATTGACGAACAAATTACTGCCGGTTTATCAAAAGGGATTTGAAAATAATCAAGCTCTTCTTCAAGTTGTTTACAGGTGACTTTTCCTGATTCATTGGGCAAAGTAAGTTTTCCAGTTTGATAAAATTCCATTATATAATAAAATGCTTCACTATTACGATCAAAAAAATATTCATTTCCATTCATTGGATGTCTCATACATTTATTTCGATCTTGAAACATTGTTCCAAGTAAGGTTTTTGGCTGTGTCATAAGAATTGATTGAAAGGTTTCATACTATGTAATAATATATATA